ACAGAAAATCCTTGAGAGTTTTATCTCCAACGCACCAACAAAAGTCAGAAGTGGAAGTGTGGCTCAAGTTGAAGGAACACAACCTTGACCAGAAAAACTAAGTGAGAGTGTGAGACCCTGAGTTCAAGCCCCCAGTACTAGCACACATACTCTCTCTGTCTCTCTGTCTCACTGTCTCTCTGTCTCTGTCTCTGTCTCTCTCTCACACACACACACACACACCACACACACACACACACACACACACACACACGGAGTCAATCCCTTCTTCTCAGAGTGAGTTCCCGCCAGCTGCCAAGCCCCATCGCATTCTTACCCCCTTCCTCCTCCATGACAGCCAGCCAGCCCTTTCTTTATCTCAGCCATCTACTGCCCAAGAGCCTGCCACAGTGCCTGCTCCCAAAAGGAGGCACAGTAATTGTTGGGGACCTACCTATCTCTACTTAGTTTTCTTAAAACAAGCAACTTGCCATTTGAGTGGACCAAATGAATGACCCAGCAGTGTAACCAACCATGAGAGAGTGTCATTGCCACCCCTCCCCATATCCTGGCCTGCCTTCGATTCCAAATGCCAGGCTCAACCCCATTCAGCCTCTTCACTCACTAACCACAAGTGGAAATCTGACCACAGTCTTCAGCCCCTAAACCTATCATGGGCATGCTACCACAAGGAGAAAGCTTTAAAACGCTATATAAGGGCAAGCAGACAGTTACAAAGGGCCATAAGTTATGTGAGTCCATTTATACAGTATTCTGAATAGGTAAGTCTAGAGAACAAGAAAGATTTGTATTTACCAAGGATTGTGAGAGATTAGAGGTGTAGAGTAGTGCACAGAGTTCCTTTTGAAAGGGAGGAAGATGTTCAAATGAATTGTGGTTAAATTGTAACTGTCTGTGAGTACACTGAATTACCATTCTGCCATAAAACAAGAAAGAAAGGAAGATACAAGGAAAGAAAGAAGGAAGGAAGGAAGGAAGAAAGAAAGAAATCCTTTTGGATATGGTAGCTCAGGCCTATAATCCTAGCTACTCAGGAGGCTGAGATCTGGAGGATCTTGGTTGGAGGCCAGCCCAGGCAAAAAGTTAGTAAGGTTCTCATCTCTATCAATAGCTGGGTATGGTAGCACATATCTGTCATTCTAGCTACAGGTTGGGGAAGTATAAGTAGAAAAATCACAATTCAGGTTGGCCCAAACATAAACATAAGACCCTATTCAAAAGTAACTATACAGGACTGGGAAGGCTCAGTGGTAGAGTGCTTGCCCTGGGTTCAATTCCTCAGCACCACATAAGCAAAAAAAAAAAAAAAAAAAAAGCCAGAAGTGGCGCTGTGGCTCCAGTGGTAGAGCACTAGCCTTGAGCTGAAGAGCTGAGGAACAGTGCCCAAGCCCAGAGTTCAGGCCCCACGGCCACCAAAAAAAAAAAAAAACTAAAACATAAAAGAAGGCTGGAAGTGTGGCTTGAGTAGTAGAGCACCTGCCTAGCAATTGTGGGTTGCTGAGTTCAAAACCCAGGATTCACAAATACTGTTGTCATATGCAACATGAATGGAACTGGAGAAGATATAGATATATGTGTGAGTGTATGTCTGTGTGTGTGTGTGTGTGTGTGTATATATATATATATATATATATATATGTTGGTCATGGGGCTTGAACTCTGGGCCTGGTCACTGTCCCTGATCTCTTCAACTCAAGGCAAATGCTCTACCACTTGAGCCACAGCACCACTTCCGGTTTTCTGGTGGATAATTGGAGATAAGGGTCTCATGGATGCTCCAGCCGGGGCTGGCTTTGAACTATGATCCTCGGATCTCAGACTCCTGAGTAGCTAGGATTACTGGCATGAGCCACCAGCACCCAGCTGAAACTGGAGACCATTATGTGAAATGAAATAAACAAGCACTGAGAGACAAGTCCCCTCATGATGTTATTCATATGTGAAGTCTAAACAAAATGATCTCATAGAAGTTGAGACTAGAAAGTGGGTCTCAAGAGACCAAGGAACATAAGAGGAGGGAGGGATGGGGAGCAATTGATCAGTGGGTGTAGTCACAGTTAGAGAGGGACACAGTAAGACAGACACAGGTAACAAAAAGATACTATACCTTACAGAAAGCTAGAAGAAAAGATTTTTAAATTTTCTACCATAAAGAAGTAGAAAATGAAACCAGGCACCTGTGGCCCATGCCTATAATCCTAGCTACTCAGAGGCCGTATGCTGGTGGCTCACGCTCATAATCTTAGCTACTTAGGAGGCTGAGATCTGAGGATCATGGTTCAAAGCCAGCCCGGCAAGAAAGTCCATGAGACCCTTATCCCCAATTAACCATCAGAAAACTGGAAGTGGCAGCTGTGACTCAAGTGGTAGAGCTAGTCTTGAGCTGAATAGCTCAGGGACAGTGCCCAGGCTCAGAGTTCAAGCCCCACAACTGACAAAAAAAAAAAATCCTTGTTACTCAGAAGGCTGAGATCTGAGGATCCTGGTTCAAAGCTAACTGGGAACTCTTATCACCACTTAATCACCAAAAAGCCAGAAATAGAGCTGTGGCTCAACTAGTAGAGCACTAGTCTTTAGCAAAAAAGCCAAGGAACAATGAGTGTCCAGGCCCTGAGTTCAAGCCCTGGTATCTGCACATACATGCGCGTACACGCATGCACATACACACACACACACACACACACCAAAGCAGTTGTAAATGTTTGGGGAAATATCTGTTTAACTGATTTAAACATAATATGCACATATATTGAAACATTACATGACACTCACTAGAATATATAATCCTTATTTTTTATGTATAAGATTAAAATAATTTTTAAACCCATTTGAATCTTACTCTCCAGATGGATCAGTTGTATAAAATGTGAATTATATTTCAATAAAGCTGTTTTGGTTTGTTTGTTTGTTTGTTTATTTTGGCCAGTCCTGGGGCTTGAACTCAGGGCCTGGGCACTGTCCCTGAGCTTCTTTTGCTCAAGGCTAGCACTCTACCACTTGAGCCACATTCTCAGCCCAATAAAGCTATTTTTAAAACTCCACCATTAGTCAGATGTGGTGGTGCATGCCTGTAATCCCTGCACTCTGAGGTTGAGGCAGGAGATCACAAGCTGGAGAGTAGCCTAGAGCTTATATAGCTTCTCCCTCCCTGGTCTCAAAACATTAAAATAAAGAAAAGGAAAAAGAACTGTAATCCTAGCACTTAGGAGGCTGAAACAAGAGGATCACAAGTTCTAGACTTACCTGGGCTAAGTGAGCTCCTACCTCTAAAACCAAACAAAGTAATTCTACAATGGCTTCCCATCCCCCACAAGGGACATCCCAGCTGCACTTAGCCATTATGACCCCAGCACTTAATGCCTAGTGTTGTTCTTAAGTACTACATGAGTTCATCTCATTTCACCCTCATAGCTATCTAATGCAGGTGTCATGCTAATGCCCATTTTGCAGATGGGTAAACTGAGAGGAGTGACTTTCCCAGGATGCCACGGCTCCCTTGTGCTTCTGTCTAGATGGGCACTTCTTACAATATGTTGTAAGGATCTGTTTACATGGTTCTCTGCCTGGCCCACAGGCTCCTGGGACTTGACTGTGGTGTCTGGTATTGTACTGGGTTCCAGGGTCTCAGTCTTGGGTACCCGGTCCCTTTAATAAGGCCAGCTCCCACCCAGCCAAAGCCATGAACCTGCCCCACCCCCACCCTCACTGGTGACAAATTCTGGAATATGTTTTCTCCTGAGCCCTTGTGTGATTTCCCTCCCCAAAGCTTGTCTTCCCACTAGGGACCTTTCCCTGTCACCAAGAGCTTCTCCCTGCCCAGAGCCGGTGGCTGCACCTGGGGGACCTGGCTCTGTCCCCCAGCTGCTCCCAAATGTGGCAGTAGCACAGGAAGCCAAAAGGTTCCTGTCTCTTAAGCCAAATCCTTGTATTCAAAAACATGGATGTCCTAGCAGCCAGAACCGATCTGACAGGGGCTGGAGGAGTCTCTCCCTGGATGGAGACTGGACTTCCATGATGGAGCCAGAGATATGGGGAGAAATACCAGCAGAGGGACCACAGCCCCGCGAGGGGTTTGGTGACAGAGGATGTGGCACACAGGGTCAGGCCATCGATTCCTGGGGCCCTGACCAGCCTGGGAGCTGCAGCATCTCCTCATTATGATAGTCATCGCCACGCCCAGCCTCTCCCCCAACCTTCTTAGACCACCAGTGTCACTGGCCTACATCTTCTGGCACTTTTGTGGGATTTTTTTTTTCCCCTGTTAAGTAGCTCTCCTTAAAATGGCTTGGCTTGGGGACAATCTGATGAATGGGGAGCCCTTTGAAAGTAAAAATTCCCCCTCACGCCCTCTGATTCCCCAAACTTCCACTCAGGTCTAGACTTCCCTGCTCTAAAGATGGATGGCAAAGTGTGGGTAAGCATGAAGTCCACAGGGGCTTTGGGGGAACTCAGAGCCAATGCCCTCCCCTCCCATGTGTCCCGAAAGGGAGCCAGCCACCCAGGCCTTTGATCAAACGGTAGGGCAGCTGCTGCCTGCTCTTAGAAACAAGCTGGCAGAGGTTGGTAGAATGCCCAAGTGGCCCAGGGGACCGCTTGTGTGTCTACGGTCCCTGGGACCTTCTTTGGGCTCAATCTTTGTGGACCTAGAGTTCTTATGTGGAAAAGCTCTACTGAGGACGGCCCCCACCCTGCCATCCAAGTAGACAAGCACCCCCTGCAAACCTGGCTGTATTTCTGCCCTAATGTCCATAGCTGCAGGCAGTTCTCCAAGGCCCTCTCCCCAGCAGGGATGGGGAAACGTCCAGGACAGAGAAGAAAGGGACACAGAAGTTTTCCCTCCCTAAATGTCTCTTGAAGAGAGATGAGGAAGCGTCTGCCACCAAGCCCCCAGCACCCAGCTGTCTTTGTTCAGTACCCTGCAAGCTTGTTGAGTGTCTGCCTGGAGACAGGCCTGCCCATTCCTTGAACCCAGATCCTGTCCCCTAACAAACAGTACTTACCATTATAGAAAAGATGAGAGGGATGAGGTTGAGGGGCCAGACGGGGCAGAAGCAAGAAGCGATGGCAAGGATTAGGTAATCTTTAGGGGCCTCTTGGTCCTGGGCATAGGAGGTTGTGACGATGGAGGATGCCCGCCGTGAGCTGACACGGGAAGGGGAGCCGGGGTGGGAGGTCTCCCGGTGCACCTCAGAGATCACCTTGAAAGGCAGGCTGTGCCCATTCTGCTCCAGATCCAGAGCCCCTGACAGGGACTTGGACAGATTCAGGGCTGTGTCCCCCTTGTCCTCCACCTTGGTGAGAAGCTTCTCCATCTCAGGCAGGTCCAATGGTGAGGTGGAGCCCAGCTCCTGCGACCGGGTAAACTGAGGCTGCACTGGATTGGCCATGTTGGACCAGGTCTTAGGCTCAAAGCTTGCACAGGGGCTTCAGAGAGACCTCAGCATACCATGCCCCCGCCCACACTGAGCTGGGGAGAGGGCTGTCTCCAGGGCAGGAGCAGAGATGTCACCCCAGGGACCCAAGAGGCCAGTGAGGTACGCCGCCCGGAAGGCTTGGAGGGGCTTCTCAAGGCCAGCTGAGCCGGGAGGCCAGGGTCTGCTGCCTCCCTGGCGGATGCCGGAGCTTTCAGCTCTGTTCAAGTTTGAGGCCAACTTTGCCGGTGCTGCTGACGGCACAGATGGGCGGGGAAGCAACAGAAAGCCCAGAGAGCAGAGAGAACGCTCCTTTCCAGAGGAAGGCTAAGACAGAGAGGCTGGTGTGTGTGTGTGTGTGTGAGAGAGAGAGAGAAGGAAAGAGAGAGAGAGAGAGAGAGAGAGAGAGAGAGAGAGAGCAGCCTCCCTCCCTCTGGCCCTCCTTGGAGATGCCTTTTCTTTTCAATTCCCCTCTCCCTAGAGAACCACCCATAGGCAGCATTCTGCCTCTGCCCCAGCCTCGCCTGGCCCAGCCCAGCCCAGCCCTCAGGGATTCAAGCCAGCCTCTGGTTTCCAGCAGAGACTCCTCTGGGCCAAGGGTTCTGGATGGGGGAAAATGACTGGTCATAGAGACACGGGCCTCTGCTTCTTTCCTACTGAACTGTAGTTTGCATCCTCATGGCTCCTGGGAAATGTTGGACCCACCCAGTATTCCACCCAGATCTTTGCCCTCAACTCCTAGAGACCAAAGGTTGCCTCCTGGCTCAGGCGGGAAGGGGAGATATGGACACAGCATGGCCCCAGCCTTGCCTGGGCTTCAAAGCACCTTACCAGGGCCGGGCGCTGGTGGCTCACGCCTGTAATCCTAGCTACTCAGGAGGCTGAGATCTGAGGATCTCAGCTCAAAGCCAGCCTGGGTAGGAGAGACCGTGAGACTCTTATCTCCAATAAACCACCAGAAAACCAGAAGTGGTGCTGTAGCTCAAGTGGTAGAGTGCTTGCCTTGAGCTGAAGAGCTAAGGGACAGCGCCCAGGCCCAGAGTTCAAGCCCCACAACCGACAAAAATAAATAAGTAAATAAATAAAACAAAGCACCTTACCAAGGGGTGGGGAGGGGTCTGCAGACCCATGGAGGCTTTCCCATCATGTTCAGAAGCAGTAGATGATGCTGGCTCCCGAGTGCCTGGAGTTCTGGCTACCTTTCCTCTGATTCTCTCTATATCTTTATTCTCTCTTGTTTATGTTCCCTCTCTGTTTTGGCCTCCTCTAATCTCTACATCTTCTCCTCTCTATCCCTTGCCTCTCTCCTTACCTTGCTTTAAAAGAGTCACCTGGAGGCAAAAGGGGTGGATGGGTGGCATGGGTAGGTATGTGGCTTGGTGGAAGTGTAGGAAATCATTTAAAATTCTAAGGACAGCTGGTAGGGTAGGACTGCCCTATAATCCAAGCTATTCAAGAGGTGTTTGAAGGAGGACTAAGTTCAAGGCCAGCAAAAGTTAGCAAGACCCTATCTCACAAACAATGCAAACAAAAAAAAGGGGGCCTGGCTCAAAAGCTACAATACTACATATACAGTGGCCTAAGCTTAATTGCCAGTACTACAAAAATAAAAGAAAATAAAAGAGGAAAGTCAGGAAATTGGACCTAGAAGAATCTCAAGATCATTGTTATAATATTACATATAATACTATATATTATAGACAATATAATAACCTCAAGATTATTGTTCTAATAATTGAGAAACTGAGACCCAGAATTGGAAAGAGATACTTATCTCCAACTGCATCCCAGTAAGACTTCAGCCACTGACCCAGGTTCTGGGGCCTGGTTAAATCTGGCTGTGTTCGTAGGGAGAAAAAAGTTTGGGGTTATACATCAAGCTGGCCTCCGAAAGGCTGCTTCTAGTAAAGTCTGAGTCAGACAGATGGAGAGACAACTGGCAGGAGGAATGAGAGGAAGGAGCACCAGGAGAGGAGGCACACACAGGACCCCCTGAGGTGGCAGCTGGAGAGTTAATAACACTTAGCAAGCCAGGTGCCTACGGCTCAAGCCTGTAATTCTAGCTACTCTGGAAGCTAAGATTTGAGGATTATGGTTCAAAGCCAGCCTGGGCAGGAAAGTCTGTGAGACTCTTATTGCCAATTAACCACCAGAAAACCGAAAGTGGTGCTATGGCTCAAAGTGGTAGAACACTAACCTTGAGGCAAAAAGCTCTGGGACAGCACCCAGGCCCTGAGTTCAAGCCCCACAGGGAAAAGAAAACAAAACAAAACACTTGGCAGCTAATAGATTTTGAAAAGATTGGTAACTTAGGCCCAAATTTCAGTTTTGAGAATTAGACTATATTTGCTGAGTGCCTCTGATTTCAAGTTTCCAGAAACATGTTGATGCCTTGAAAATAGGAAGGTGCTTTCCAAGGGGGGCGGAGAGGGGGGGGTGGGTTCTTGGCACTGCCAGGCACTGTCTTCTGCAAGAGCCCAATTCAGTAACCTCCAGCCATACGTAACTACTGAACACTTGAAATGTGACTAGTCCTAATGAAGACATGCTGTGGGGAAGAAATACACACAGGATTTAGAAGATTCAAAAGAAAAGTAAGTAAAAGGGCTGGGAAGGTGGCTCAGTGGTAGAGCGCTTGCCTTGCATTCATGAGGCCCTGGGTTCGATTCCTCAGCACCACATAAGCAAAAAGAAAAAAGCCGGAAGTGGTGCTGTGGCTCAAGTAGTAGAGTGCTAGCCTTGAACTGAAGAGCTGAGGGATAGCACCCAGGTCCAGAGTTCAGGCCCCACAACCGGACCCCCCCCCCCAAAAAAGAAAAGTAAGTGAAAGATCTCACTTAATTTTACCTTGATATCATGTTAACATGATGGTATTTAGATATGTTGGGCTAAATAAAATGCTAATAAAATTAATTTCATGCTTCCTTTTTCTGGAAATTAAAAATGAACTTATCATTATATTTTCATTAGTCAACACTTGCCTAGAAGACAGAATGAACCAGACATAAAGGGGTCTTTTTGATTTAATAAAAAGAGAAAAGGAAAAAGCCACAAAGTCCCCAGAGTGGCCTGTGGCAGTGAGGTTGCCTGGTTGGGCTGGGACTAGGGGCACCTTGGGAACTAGATGTGTCACCAGGGCAGACACTGTGTATACAGTGCCACCTATTGGATGATGATAGAATTGAGGTGGGTACCAGAGAGGAGGCAGGGAAGGAGAAATAAGGTGTTGGGGCTGCCCAGTCCAACCCAACCTACTCCAGTCATCAGTGGCCCTGATGAGTCTCTATCTAGATTGTACATGGAGGCTAATGGATTATATTCACACTATAAAGTGGACTTTGTCTTGCACAGTATTGACTCACACAATATCAACACACACATTGATATTGGGGCTTGAACTCAGGGCCTGGGCATTGTCCCTAGGCTTTTTTTGCTCAAGGCTGGCAAAAGAAAGTAGAGTCACAGCTCTGCTTCGGGCTTTTTGGAGATAGGGCTTTTAGATAGAACCGTCATAGATTTTTCTGCATGGAGTAATTTCCAACTGTGATCCTCAGATCTCAGCCACCTGAGTAGCTAGGATTACAGGTGTAAATCACTGGCACCCAGCTAGCATATGTTTATTTGTTTAAATTATTGCATATAAAACTTGTGGTTCCAAACTTCTAACATAAAGATCTTGAAACCCTGGGATAATTTCCTACAGAAATTAAGTCAGCTCCTTAGTCAACTCCCTGTTCACGTGGACAGCCTGCCAGAAGATCTGAGTGGTGAACTTTAGTCCAGCTGGAATGTCGTCTGGAAGAGCCCTGATCTGTAACCTTATTAGAGTGTTGTAATTGTTACTCTCTATCCTTTAAAAGTTAACTCCAGCCAGGCACCAGTGTCTCACACCTGTACCTAGCTTAAGTAGCTAAGATCTGGAGGATCCTAGTTTGAGGTTAGCCTGAGCAGAAGAACCCACATGGCTCCATCTCCAAAATAATCAGCAAAAGACAAGGCTGAAGGTGCGGAGTAAATGATAATGTATCAACCAAGCAAGCAAACTGAGGGAGCATGAAGCCTGATTTGAAACCCAGAAATGAGGTACCCTTAAAAAAAAAGTTAACTTTCTCTACTTGAAGTACTATTTCAGTGGGCTGTTGGTATTAATTTTATGAACATACAAGATCTTGTCAGTTTTAATATCTTTTAGTCATAGTAGCTCTTGTGTTTTCCCTTTCTGACATTTCCTTTTTTATTTGCATTTCATGTGCATCATTATACATTTTCCTGTTTTTGGACAATACATCTGGTCTCAGTTGATAACATTCATTTCTTTAATAATCACATACTTATCTTTCCTTCACAGCAATAACTAAGGATACTCTAAAAAAACATTGGGGAGATGAGGGAGTTCCTATTGGGTTAATAAACAGATGTATGTACACACAAATATTCATATATCTACAATGAATATAATCTAAACGCCTCAGAGTGCTTCATAACAGCATGCAAGTCTGTTGGTATGTACACTCAAACACATAACCCTGATAAAACAAAGAAGATAGCTGGGAGCTGGTGGTTCATGCCTGTAATCCTAGCTACTCAGGAGGCTGAGATCTGAGGATCGCTGTTTGAAGCTAGCCTAGGGAAGAAAGTCTGTGAGACTCTTATCTTCAATTAACCACCAGAATACCAGAAGTGGTGCTGTGGCTCAAAGTGATAGTGCTAGCCCTGAGTGAAAGAGCTCATGGACAGCACCCAAGCCCCGAATTCAAGCCCCACAACCAACAACAACAACAACAACAAAAAACACCAAGGAAGATTATATATTTCAGACTCTATGATCATTCTTTTCATTTCCTTACAACAACCTTGTGAACAGAATATATCTGAACAGCTTCCATTTAGTGAGTGTTTGTGTGGGCCAAGCACCAAGCTAAGGGCTTTAACCCGTTATCTTACTTCATCTGCACAACAGCCTATGGTGAAAGCACTCGTGTTAGTCCAGTATATGGATGGGGACAGAACGCACAAAGTCCCTATATCATTGGCCCACAGTTGGTGAGCTTAGGAGAACGCAGTCATCTCCCTCCTGGCTGAGCGTCTGTTGATCTTTCTCAGCCTCATGTCATATTTCTGTCTACAGAGGGCGCTTTAGACATGCTTGGACTATGTGGCTTGGCGAGAACCTTCTTTTAAAGCCTGAGATTTAGAATGCTGAAACACTGTGTCCAGACTGGCCTATTATAAGATTATAATAATAAAGTCATCATTTGCGAATACCTTCTAATTACCCAGAACTGTATGCTATGAACCTTGTTAATCTCACGGCCACCCTGGCATCATTATCCAAGTCGGAGGTGAGAAACTAGAGGTAAGGAACTGACCGAGCAGGAGATTCTGGCTCTTCCTTTTCTACTGTATATTGAGCAGAAAAGAAGGCTCAGGGTCTCAAATTCTGTTCCCAATGAGTCCCAGCCTTCCTCTGATCTTTGCCACAGCCTTGACTGAGTCTTCGGGAGCACAGAGGCGTGTGGCTAGGACCAGGATGTATATGTGTGTGTGTGTGTGTGTGCCAGAGTGTTGAGGCTTGCAGAAAGCAAAGACCTCTCAAAATCTGGCAGTGCACCTGGTCTCAGCTGTCCTGCAGAACCCCCACTCTACCCTGAGTCTATGCCTGTGGGTATCTCTCCAGAATCTGTGGGAGGGTTCCCTATTTTGAGTTGGTTCTTATCACCCTTTCCCTCACCTGGCAAGAGCCCCTCTCTCCAGAGACCAGAAAGCCTCAGCCCTTCCCTGGCACAGTTGGCTCCCCAACCCAGCAAAGTATCACCTGCAGCATTAGCCCCATCAACCTGTGGGAAGCTAGACAGGAGGTCATCTTTGGTCATTCTTCAGGTGGGGGCAGCCTTATGCCTCTTCCCCTTCTCCCCCGCAGCAGCCTGGTTCAGCAGCCACCCTTCCTTCCACATGGATCACAGAGAGCATGGCCCACTTTTCCGTGGGAGCTCTACCTGTCCCTTAGGGTACCCACAGGACTTCTTTGCCCCTCCCGTCTCTGCCCACTCCACTTTCAGCTTCCTTCCCTGGCACTGGCCAGACTCTCCTTTCTGGTCAGCCCTCACAGTGGCTCAGTGCAGACCGCAGCTCTGCAGGGAGACTTGGAGGCCCAGTGCATCCTCAGCCTCCCAGGCCCCTGGTGATTCTGTCCATGTAATGTTCTCCCTCGCTCACAGGGCCACAGGAGGAATGCCATCTCGCTATGCTCAGCCACTGCCCTGGGCTTGCTATGAACCTGTGCCCAGGTCCCTACCTGTAGGCAGTAATCCCTGACCCAATGTTCCAAGGACAATCCCCAGCTCTCCAGCTTTAGGTCCTCTTGGGCTTTTGGGCCCAGTGGAGCAGACAGGATGACTTTTCTTTTTTTTTTTTTTTTATTTTCTGCTTCTCCTTCCTCTCCCAAATCAGATTTGGGTTAAGGGCCCCGGCAGGGGTAGGGGGCTCCTACACCATGCTCTCATACCACAGCAGGTGTCCACACCCACTCCCACACAAGACGCCTTTCCAGAAGCAGCAAGCAAAACAGAGCTCAGAGGCACAGCAATACCAAAGGGCACTTTCCAAGAAGAAGTTCAAATCTACGAGTCAGGTAGGATCCTGCGCTTTTTCTCAGAGCTCCCATCCCAGGCTGGGAAATGGGGTGCTGCTCGGGCCCCAGAACACCTTCCCATACGGAAGGCAGCTTCCTCTACCGCTCAAGTCTCAGCCTGTTCCATTTTGTATGTACCCCGCCGGCCTGGTCTCTCTTCAGGCCTAACAGTGCTTCCTGTGGCAGTGTGTAGGGGTCAAGAGTGCTCATAGTTCAGCCTGGGGCTCGTTCGCAGATAATCCCGCGGTGGCCAGGGAATCGATCCAGCAGGGGGACCCCCAGGGCATCGGCACCAGCTTCCTGCGGAAGCTTGGACCAAGCTGGGTGCCTCGATCTCCACCCGGGGCTGTCCCAGGAGCGCGAGTGGGGAGCACGTGGCGCAGCGGGGCGCAGGAGGCGCAAAGCTGAGCGCAGCGGTGCCCGGCCAGGGCCGCAGGGGCGCAGAGTCCTTGGGGATGGTGGCCTGGTTGTGGCACTCCAGGTGGCCGCAGGGCCCCCGGGGCGCGGGGCTGGCCCGCAGGACCAGGGAGAGTGCGGCGATGCGGTGGATGGCCCGGCGCAGCGTGGCGATCTTGGAGAGCCTCTTGCCTCCCAGGTCGTGGCGCAGCGCGCGCCGCAGCGCGTTGAAGGCCTCATTATAATCCAAGATGCGCTTGCGTTCCCGCACATTGGCTGCCATGCGCCTCGCCTTGGACCGCACCGGCCGGCTGCGCTTTCTGCCTGCAGCCTCCTCCGCCTCGCTCACGCCGCGAGGAGCGCTGTTTTCCCTCAGCACCCCCAAATCCCTCCCAGCCTCTGGGCAAGAGCCCCCTAAGTCTTCTGCAGAGGCCTCAGCCCCCTTGAGGCCCCGGAGGCCTAGTCCTGGAGCGCCACGGAGCATGGCCTGTTCCCGGGCCCTGAGGCTCTGGCTCGGGGTCCCCAAGGCTGCTGTGTGTGACTCGGAGTGTTGGCTCCTGATGTAGCTGGACACTCCCTGGACCGGCCCTGGCTTTATGGCACTACTTGGCTCCCCGCCCTCCTCATCCATCCATCTCCCTCCTCCTGCTTTATTACCTGCCCCCAGGTAAGTTGGAGAGGGAGGAACTGAGAGGAAGGAAGCAAGCATGCATATTTTTGTACCCCAGACCAACTGCGAAGCCTGGCCACGCCTGCATCCGTCTGCAGCCGCCACAAGGAACCTGGGCTCCCTCGCTCTATTCTGGCATGCCTGTGTTCCACGTCTTTTTTTTCCCTGATTCCAAATGGACTGCCAGATTTGGCCAACAGACCATGCCATAAAATGTTGGAAACGGAGGGTTGGGTGTATTTTTAAGAATCTTGAGCCGACAGTTCAAAGCCAGCCCAAGCAAGAAAGTTCATGAGACCCTTATCTCCAGTTAATCAACAAAAAAGCCACAAGTGGAGGTATGGCTCAAGTAGTAGGGCACCAGCCTTGAGGGAAAAAGCTAAGGGACAGTGCCCAGGCCCCGTGTGCATGAGCGTGTGCCCACACCCACACCCACACACACCTTGAAAGTCTTTGCTAAGTCCTGTGGCAACCACAGAGCTGTCACTGAAGGGAAAGCATGCTGTGCCTACCAGAGGGCTCCATCAGGGAGGGACAGATCTGACCCCACAGGCCCACAGTACCCTGAAGATGAGCTGAGAGGAGTGTGCAGGTCTTTTCAGCTTCCAGTAGGAGGCTGGCTGGGACTGTGGGTAACCCATTCTGCAGACCAAGGTAGGCTGGGTCAGAGGTAGAGGGTAATGAGGATTTTTCCTTTTCCCTCTGACTTTCCTAGAGTAGCCATCAGGAGCATCCGTTGGACTCTGAGGCCCTTGGACAGCCTGGCCTCATCATGCAACACAGTCATGTGATGATATGGGTAAACAACCCGTACTTTCACCACCAGCAGCAGCGATTTGAATTTTCAGCAGTCTCCGAGAAGCAATAAGGCTTAATCTAGACAAAGACACCCCCATCCCCCCCCCAAAATGGGATTTCTGGCATCTGCAGGTAAGTTATCTGGAGCACCTTAATGTGAGTCTTCTCCCAGCCACAATCCAAATGTCTCCCAAATGCCAAGGCCTATCAGGATGGGCACACAGGATGGGCACACAGGCCTCATCCAGACAGTGACGCCTCCTTGAGTGACTTGGTGCCAGTCACTTCTGGTCTCTGCCTCTCAGCTTCCTTTTGGCACAGCAGCCATCCTCTCTGTGGGAGTATATGCGGGACTGGCTACATGACTTGCTGGCCCTGGTGCAAAATGCAAACACGGGGCCCAAGTGCCAAAATATCAACAGTTTGAGGATGTGGACCATGCAGCATTAGGCTAACTCCAGATACTTCTAACTCACTGTACAGGACCCTCACCCATGAATGAAGCCAGTCCAGTAGCTCACTTGGACACCTCAGGGAACTAAGAGGCCACCACCAAAAGGGAATGGGTGGATAAGCAGAAGTACCTCCATTTCCATGGAAAGATGAAGGGGACCTATCCAAGGAAGCCTTCCTGTCGCTGGATCTGCAGGAGTCTCTCAGAGGGGAGGATCAGCCTGGGGAAGCATAGGAGCTGGGGGGAGAACATCAGTGGGTAATGATAAACAAAGCCCCTTCTAGCATTTTCCTTCTTCCAGGGACTCTGCATCTTAAAATGCACACTCCACTATGGACAGGAAGCTGATTAGTAATAACTAATCATAACGCGCATGATCTCCAAGTGTTGGCACTGAATCCTATGAGGTGCTTATCATAGAATAGGCCCTGTACTAAGGGCTTTTCAATGCACATTATCTTAGCCTTATAACAATCCCACATGGAAACTCTATTATTATAGTACCCGTTTTACAGCCTGGAAAACTGAGATCCAAGGAGTTTAGGACCTTGGGCCAATTCAGAGTGCTGAGCCGCTGTGTGACTTCTAGTCCAAGAACAAAGTCTAATGCTTCTGAGCTAGGTCTGCTTTCTCAGTGCAGGGAGTGCCACCTCCCACTGATCCCCTCTTCATATCAGAGCAGTGACATTTGTCTTTTGAAGTTAAAGCTATTCATTGGAAGTATGGCTCAGCTGTACAGTGCTTTGGCTAGAATGTACAAGACCCTGAGTTCCATCTCCAGCACTTGGGAGACCGGAATACAGTTTCAATTAAGTGTGAAAATTTTTAAGAAAAAGGGGAGGAGGGGGCTTGGTTGATTGAGAGACAAGCCTGGGATAGGGGCAGCAAATAAAGAGAACATGGACTAGAAGGCAGGAAAAGCCAGGCAGCCCAGCTGTCAGCCTGCTGGCTAACTTTGACAGACTCTGATAGGATCCTGGGGAGCGCTTCAGAGAGTATGCATGAAAGACAATCCCGAGACTGGCTGACCATACTGCAGGTGAACCAGGGCCCAGGCAGGACCAGTCTGTGGGAATTCAGGAGCAGCCTGCAGCTCCCTGCCTGCTTCTACAGGGGAAAGCTCTGGCCACTTTGTCACCAGACTTCTAGACTGAGTTCTGGTGGTCTGCAGTGGGACCCCAGCCTCAGCCACTTGCTGGCCTTTCCTCCTCTGTGAAGACCTGAGTCTCTCCTCCAGGGCTTCCTCTTCCAGTGCTTCTTAACTTCACCTCACAGGCCTGGGGGATGTCAGGTGGGGAAAACCAAGTAGTCTGGCTCTGCCAAGGCAATTGCAGGTGAGATTGGAAATTGGATAAATCTAGGAGCTTTTCTCCTAACAACAGAAACATCAATCCCAGCTAAAGATCTCCCCACCTCTGGAGAGGACCATTCCACCACACTTCTGCGCTCATGGGGGAGCCAGTTAAAGGTCATCTCTAGATTCCTAGAACCCAGCACAGAGCCATGGGTACAGCAAGCAGGAGAAAATATTTGTGGAGTGGTGAATAAATGGTGCAATATCAACATTAAGATAATCATTGCCAGCCAGGCGCTGGTGGCTCACATCTGTAATCCGAACTAGCCCAGACAAGAAAGGCAGTGAGAGTCTTATCTCCAATTAACCACCAAAAAGCTGGAAGTGGATTTGTGGCTCAAATGGTAAAGTGCTAGTCTTGATCACAAAAACTCTGGGACAGTGTCCAGACCCTGAGTTCAAGCCCCACAACCACTACCACCACCACCAACAAAACCCCATTGCAGGGCATGGTAGTGTACATCTGTAATCCCAGGACTCCTGAGGCTGGGACAGGAGGATCATGAGCTTGAGGCCAGCCTGGGCTCCATAGCAACATCCAGACTCAACAAGAGAAAACAAATTCTTGTGAGGGCTGGGTGCTGGTGGCTCACACCTGTAATCCTAACTACTTAGGAGGTTGAGGGTTGAGGATTAGGATTCAAAGCAACCCCTGGCAGGAAAGTATTCAAGACTCTTAATCCCTAATCAAAGAAAAAGCCAGAAGTGGCACTGTGTTAGAGTGGTAGAGTGCTAGCCTTGGGCAGAAAAGCTCAAGGACAGTGCCCAGGCCTTGAGTTCAAGCCCCACAACCGACCCTCCCCCCCAAAAAAATGTTTGGGGTTCACTACATAATGCCTTATATATTGTAACTTAAGTCTCCTTTGGAGATGATTTTGACCACAGTTTCCTTCTTGCTCATTAACTTTGAAACATCTCCATCTAGGCATGGGGGGGGGGGGAATCTATTCCAAACGAATAATGCTGGAGCTGCACACCCTCTCTCAGTGGCTTCCTGGGTGCGGAGCTCACGGGAGGAGCGGCTGCGCGGGGCGCTGTGCCCGGGGCGCGGGGCACTGTGCCCGGGGGCGCGCGTCGCGGCGGGGCGGCATCGCGGGTGCCGGTTGCGCGCACTGCGGCGCGGCCGGACTTCAAAGCATTTCCGCGGCACCTGCAGCCCAGGGGGTTCGCGCCCCGCTCCCTCTCCCGGAGCCGCCCCTGCCCCGAGCGCAGCTTCTCCCGCTGGCAGGGACGGAGGAGGAGCGAAGGCCGTGATTTAGGGCCGGGCGGTTCCGCTGGCGGCCGCCAAGGTGCCTATTATCACCCGGCTTGGATTTCAGAAATTCCTGCGCTTCCCTGGCAGTTCCGGCGCTGCTCCACCCCGAGGGAGCGCACAGCTCCCGCCAAAAAAAAAGTTGGGGTCCCTCCCGCCGAGGTGGGGGAGGGGGGCGGATCCTGGAGACAGCACCTTGGTCTCTCCGGGACCCCAATCCCTCGGGAGCCCTGCAGATTTGAGCCCTGTCAGTCCCGCTCCTTCAGGTCATCATTCCAGAAACATAACCGTCCTTTTTTGTGCAAGTGTTGTGTGTGTGTGTGTGTGTGTGTGTGTGTGTGTGTGTGTGTGAACCCCAGGCCTTGTGCATACTCTGCATGGGTCCTATCACAGAACTACCAAAGTCCTCACAAAATAATGATCGTGCTGGTTTAGAACAGTAGGCAGGGAAAAGCCGCCAGCTTCCTCCAAATTAGGCTTCTGTGCTTTCTGGGATTTATGTCTTTTCTCCTTCCTTCCATCTGCCTGCCTCCAGTGCCAGCCCTCAGACGCCGGGGAAGCTCTCCTGAAACCCTTCTTTTTCATTCATCTGCTTTTCCTGGACAGATGGCTTATTTGCTTAATGGATGGTACTAGGTTTGAGGTCAAGGGCTCCAGCCCTACTGTATATTTGCTGAGTATCTACTATCTGCTAGGTTAGAAATCATGGCCAGGTGTGGTGGTTCATCAGGAAGGAGAGGGTGGGGAAGGGACTGGGAAGGAGGAGAAAAAAGTATTAAAAATCATCCTAAAAGGGGCTGGGAAGGTGGCTCAGTGGTAGAGCGTTTGCCTTGCATGCATGAGGCCCTGGGTTCAATTCCTCAACACCACATAAGCAAAAAGAAAAAAGCCAGAAGTGGCGCTGTGGCTCAAGTGGTAGAGCGCTAGCCTTGAGCTGAAGAGCTGAAGGACAGCGC